CATCCCACTGTCCGGGCGACCTGGACGAGGACGGCAACGGCATTTGCACTACGCGCGTCATCATCGAGCTGCCGGCGGCGCACGAGGACGGCGACTGTCGCTCCCGGGCCTACCCGGCCTACGCCACCGAGCCTGTGTCGGCCGAGGGCGCGCTCACCGTGCCCGTCTTCGTCTAGCGCAGCGATCGGCCGGAGGACAGCACAAGACGGCCGGTAGCCGGCGACGCCACCTCTCTAGCGTCGAACAACGCAGGGCACAACTAGTGGTAATAGGATGTGTGTTGACGATAGGTTGGATAAACTTATCGGAAAGCGTGACTTTTTGACTGTGACTTGTGTGACTGGTGACTTTTAATCGCGGAAAAAGCGGGGAAACACGCGCTCGTATGGGGGTCAAATTGACCCCCCTCCAAGGTTTTCCCAAATTGGTTTCCGAACGGCAAAGCGCAACCGCGTCAAATTTTGCAGAGCTGTATAGACAATTGAATAGCGGATCGTCTGACATCAAAAATTTAGATGTACCTTGTAAGATCGTTGAGCTATGGCAGGTCAAAATTTGGGGCCATGGTTTCAGCGAAAGCACGTTCTAGGAATCGTTCAAGCCGATCAAACAACGGGGTGTTAGAGGAAGCCGGACATCTCTGAGATACTTTCTTAGGCAACCCAATACTTGGATAAACAAATAGCATTGACCTAGGGTAAGGCAAGAAGGTCAGACCAAGGCCAAAGCCACCTGTTTTATTACTCTTGGGCTTGTTGTATGGGCTGATTTCTGGTGCTTACTTGGAATATACGGATGGCGGGAACCGCATTAAACACCTTTCATGGACTTCTTATGGGACAAAATAGGCCACTGACCTAAAATGACCCAGGTCAACAGTTTTGTTCTTAGGAACATACTGCCTAGCGCAATCTTTGTCGCTTATGGAAATGCAGAACTCAAAAGTTTGATAGCATTTTGGTCATCATGACCTTTAAAGGTCAAACATGGTCGCTGACCTTAACTTTTGCTCAGAATAGTTACCTATTTTCTAGGAGGCATTTGGAGACCAATCTGGAATTTGAACTTGTTTGACCTTATCTGACCTGAAGGTCCTGACCTAGGAACTTTAAACTTTGACCTATGTGATTTCACGTACAGTTCAACACACCCTGTGAATTTGGTGTCTTTAGCTCTCTAGAGCTAGAGCCCAGCTAGAGCAGCAGGATAGAAGTCAGTGTGCTTCGCGCTGTCTAAGCTATCTAAATGTGACCGTTTTTTATAGATAGCCCACGTTAAGCCAATGACTATGGATTGTTCATGTCTGAAATGACAGGAAGTGCCCCCGCCAGTAAGTAAATTCGAAACCATTTAACTATTTAAGAAAAAGTAATGAGGTAAACACAGACTTCCTCCTGGCTGTCTTCCGGTGCTGAACATGTTCCGATGCTTGGATCTGGGCAAAATGAGTGCTCTGTCAGGTAACGGAACCCTCAACATTGCCGCCACGTCCAATGGAGTGCCTAATATACGGTCCCACTACAACCAGCTGTCATTCTGAATGAGGCCGGTGACTGCGAAACGACCGACGCAGTGATCATCATCTAAGCTGCCTCACTGTGCTTGTTTTCTTTTCGTAGTCACTTTGTAATCACTGAGGTCAAGCAAGGTCGTGGGGGTCATGCATCTTTTGCGACACCACACAATTCATATAGTTATGCCACCACCATCTGATATTATTCATTTGAATTGTTCCGCACCATTTGAGTTGGGTTTAACTTGGATTGCATGCACCTGCAATTTCGCAGGGTAGTGTCCAACTTGCTTATGAGACAACACATCTCCTATAAATGTCATGTCATGACCACCCACGTTACAAACAACGCAATAGACGACATTCGGCATAATGTGGCGCGCTTCTCCAATTGACTTACGTTTGAAACCATGTGAGAGATGTGTACTAGGTGAAACAATGTCACAGCGCGTTGCAATGTACTGCAATGAGCGCGATGAGGCAGATACTATGCAGTGAAGAGCAAGGCTGGCCACGTAACTCATGTGCACTGGGCACATACTACTACAGCCACCACATTTTACAAAGGATGGCAGGGCAGCTTATATGCCGCACGCAGCCCAGAATACCAACGTCAAGCTGATGACATCGCCTAAACTATGTAAATACGTAATAGCTCCTGCTCACGTGTCTGATACCCATGATTGATTACCCACACGAACCGTAATCTGAAAAGTGGGGGGGGGGGGCAGCTAACATTGTTGCCCCCCACGCCTTGAAAGTGGGGGTATGGCCCCCTGCCCCGCATCCCCCCCCCCCCCCCGCCTGTTCCGATACCCATGCTTCAATGCGATAACAAAACGCTGCACTGCTTGACTAAGAGCCCCATGTTACCAACACAGCGGATGCACCAAAATAAAAAAAACAAAGCTGGCCAGCTTTGGTGCCAATCTGGCAACATTTCTCATTCCCTTTGTAAACAAGGCTAATACTTCCTTTAAAAAGACGCCCTGATAGCCTCGCCAGCCATCTGTTGCATGAGAAAGTTCTGGGCACGTAAGGCGATCACATGCTCTGTGATTGGCTCAGCCGACCATCTTACCATATCACATTCGTTTCTCATTGGTTAGCTATCACATCATTTCCATAACATATGACAATGACCCGATGTACGTAGTATATAAGGCGCACCGTTGCTGATCATGGAGATCCAGCTTTGGCTGAGCTTCGAGAAAGCCTGGCGCAGGCGAGGTCGCCAGCAGTGTGACTATCACGCAAGCAGTGCTACAAATCTGCTACCAATTGGCGCCGTATGACTTGGATTCGCAAATATTCATTTCGCAAGTCTCAGTCATCGAGTTGTCTTCATGGATCGCCGCAATCGTGAGTCAGCCCGTCATACGCACATTCTTGAACGATCAAGTCAGTATCATTGGGTGACGGTGTTATTTCTATTTTTGTGTGTTGCTACTTACTGACAAACATGACCACCCCTACACATACACCTACTGAGGGATAGCCTATTCCAAAAGCGTGCAGGAAATTGCAAGCGAAGTTATGGTTCGAGGGCTTGCACAATACGTTAGGACATTTAGTAAGGAGAGATCGACAAAATTTCATACTTGGGCACGTAATATGGACAGCACCGTTTTGCATAACGGACGATAAACGCAGGCGAGTTTTGGCACGCCGCGGTTTGAGTGGACTTGCAGGAAGGTTTGCCTGTAGGCTTATTAATGAAAATCCCCAAATTGGTTGCAAGGATCTCCGAGGGAGACCTCGTGAGCGATACAGGGAGCTACGGGATCATTATTGTACTCAAATGAAGCTGCGTCAAGTTAAACAGTGTCCCGGAAAACTCCTGCAAAATTTTTCATCGGGCTTCTGACGATAGCATTTGGGGCTTTTAATAATTTGATTAGTCACGAGGTTCAGCCTGTTCTGATGGAAGCGCCCAAAAATCAATGATTGATGGTAGGTTAGCGCGTGGTATCATCCGGAAACAATGCTATACGCTTCCGCAAGCCGTCAACTTCGCTTGTGCGGAACAGCTAACAGTTCCTGTCGACAGGTGTGCTAATCAGCGCGCTGTTTACAGAAACAAAACTTCGTTACGCGCGCGTTTCGAATCTTTCTCATAGTGTTCTTGTACATAACTCCGTGATTTCACGTTATATACTTACATTGGTATACTCGGTTATGGCGCTAGTCTTAAGTTCATAATTACCAACCTTATTTCTGTCATAACTTGTACCACTGCCCAACTTCCTGTATTACATAGCACGAACATGGTTCGTGTTCGAATTTCGCATAAAACGCCTCACAATGGTTGAGGGCCAACTGAAGTCCGTGGATGCTAGAAATCGTGCTGACGTGCGGCAGACACGAATAGTTCTATGATCATGTTTTCCGTGGTTTTAAGCTCTACTTGGCCAATGAGGCGACAGTATCCGCTTGACATTTCTGTGGCATCACGCATGCCTGGGTGACCTTGAAAAATTATGCACGAAAAATAATGCCCAGGTTCGTGGGCGTCAAGCTCAGCAACCAGAGGGTCCCAAGTCTTACAAGGGGCTGGGCTGTGAGCTGCGCAGAATGATCTTTAAATGGCTAACGCAATTCAAACTCCACACAAATGAAGAACGCGCACTTTAATGGCAATGTTACATATGCTAGAGGGCCTCAAAAACGTTAAGAGGCTGTGGTGGTATCTGAGGTGATTGGCCCGACCTGTGACGCCACTGCGGACGTACCAAAGGCTTATACTTTGAATACATGAGACATAAGCATTGTTTTAGCTTCAAATAGACAAACCTTAAATTCATCTGAAACACGGAACTGGTGGCGTAACAGAGTACATAATATACGTCAAAACACACCCAAAACCTAAACGACTTTTGCGCCCTTAAGGACCACAATAACGGCCCGCCTGACTGGAAAGGAGGCATCAAAAATCGAGGGTCCCAGGCTCGGGCGGCCGTATCGCAGCAATGTCAGGCAGGAAAAACTCCTCCAGTTCAATCTGGCAAACGAGCGGAGGCAAAATTATCCGCTTAACTGGACGGCACAACCCGTATGGTGGGTTCAGGGTTTATCCTTCACAACCTGTGCTTAGCGGGCTCAGATTCTGAATCAGAGGCCCCCGATGTAAATCATTCGGAAAAACGCACAAAACTGTGCCCTACCGCTGCAAATCCTGCACACGCCGCTGGGTCTCACCTATTTCTTACGCAGGTGCAAACAGTGAGTGACATCCAAGGCCCTTTCCCCAGAACTCGGAGTTCGAGTGCATCTCAGTAACTCTGACGTCTTTTCATAAGAGGCCTATTGTCGTCGCAGCCCATCAGCGGCAAACACTTGTTGCACCCCATGTGCTGTCGGTCACATTCATACATCTCCAAGCTCAAAGTCCGGGCCGAATACGTCATCCCTTATAGGCAGCTGCTGCTGAATCACGGTCGGCGCTGTATAAATGCCCAGCGGCGGCGCCCGGGGTCACCAGAGGACCGACCATGCTGATGTGGACGGCACTGTTGTTGGCGGTGCTGGCCACCGACCCGGGCGGGGCCGAGTGTCCGCACGAGGCGAGCGACCTGCAGCCGTGGAGCGTCGCCTCCTCCTGGGACGCCGGCGCCGTAAGTGAGAGCATGTGTTGAAAACCTCTGTTTCACCTCAGTCATATACAAACGATTTAGACACGCTTTAATAAAGGAAACATTAGAATGTGGATGCTTCATCATAGTGCATTCGACCGCGATACATTTCTGTCAACGTGTCACTAGTTACGGAGTACGTTAGTGAAGAAGTCCGGGTACGATTCTCATATCCATTAACGTTCTGCTAATGTCGCCTTTTTATTAGGGGAGCATTTCCCTTTAATGTTCGTAAATGTTTTCACATGTTTTCTTACAGACCCTACGCATCGTTCGAAACTCACGGCGCGATGTCTGTATATGTCAAGGCTAAACATGCGCAAACATTTACATCTTTCGTGAAATTTGCGACAGGAAAGAGGTGCATTTTCATACTGCCTTACCGGCTTATATTCGCCGCATTTCTTGGCATGTGCTGGCCAGGACTACGAGTGTACAATATGAACTGCGGTTATACCGCTTTTCGCACATGTACATATAACATCTGTCCTATTTACAACATCCACCCGCGTACAGCCTACGTGCAGCGTTCACCCCTATGTGTTGTAATAACCCCTTGGCTCAGGCAATTTCCACTTGATTCAAATTGTTTCGTAAAAAGTGTAATTTTACTGGCGTAGAAGCCGTTCCATTACACCTGCCGTTCCATTATGCATCCGAATTCGAAGTAGGGAGGTAGATGTTACTTCCTGCGCCAAAATCACACGCCTTTTTAACCTTATGAAACGGGATGCTACAACCGACTATGTTGTGTTAATTTTTCTTTATCTTAATTTTAATACGCATTTTGCAGCTGTCTTATCCACCAGAAGTGTCGGCCTTTTCTGTAAACGTAAGGCAGCGCGTGTAGTCCGGGGGTGATCACTTCCTTGGAACGATTGCCAAAGATCACTTGAGGAATTCCTCATGTCCTCATTACTGATGTATTCTGTACGTCATGTGCCCAAAATATTGCTACAACTCAAAGGAAAGGTTTCTAGAAAATATTAGAAGAGTTTAACGACCTTCTCTAAGTCAATTCGGAGAAACCAACAAAAAACGAGGAGCACAAAATCTGTGCCCACGGCCCCGCACAAAACTTGATTGGAGACGAAAATTTTGACGAAAGGCATTTGGCAAGCCGCCTCTGAAACAGGAGGTGTATGTCACACATCTGCGATTTTTAGAAGTTCCGAATGCAGCCCTCCTTGGCCCAAATAATTACGAACTCCACCATGACGGCCGTATCGCTGTGTAGACCGCTTAAAGACGCACTACATATACAGCTCTCAATTACGCGTCGGAGCTTAGGTTACTTCGCTGATCTGCTAACACCTATAAGCTGTATTTTGGCGGTACAACACACGCCTTTCGTCCTCAAGGTGGAAGACCTGATCACATGTTTCCTTAAATAACTGCCTGTTCTACAACTTTTAACCCTTGCCCGACAGAGACACATGCCCCTCCCCGCCCGATGACGGTGGTGCCTAACAGACCGCCCCCCCCCCCCCCCTTTACTAACTTTTGAACTAAGAAAGCAGACAATCGGGATAAAAGTCAGTGTGTTTCGCGCTGTCTAAGCTATCTAAATGTGACCGTTTTTTATAGATAGCCCACGTTAAGCCAATGACTATGGATTGTTCATGTCTGAAATGACAGGAAATGCCCCCACCGGTAAGTAATTTCCAAACCATTAAACTATTTAAGAAAAAGTAATGAGGTAAACACAGACTTCCTCCTGGCTGTCTTCCCGTGCTGGACACGTCCCGATGTTTGGATCTGGGCAAAATGAGTACTCTGTCAGGTAACGGAACCCTTAACATTGCCGCCATGTCCAATGGAGTGCCTCATATACGGTCCCCCTACAAGCAGCTGTCATTCTGAATGAGGCGGGTGACTGCGAACCGACCGACGCAGTGATCATCATCTAAGCTGCCTCACTGTGCTTGTTTTCTTTTCGTAGTTACTTTGTGATCACTGAGGTCAAGCGAGGTCGTGGGGGTCATGCATCTTTTGCGACACCACACAATTCATATAGTTATGCCACCACCATCTGATATTATTCATTTGAATTGTTCCGCACCATTTCAGTTGGGTTTAACTTGGATTGTATGCACCTGAAATTTCGCAGGGTAGTGTCCAACTTGCTTATGAGACAACACATCTATAAATATCATGTCATGACCACCCACGTTACAACAACGCAATAGACGACATTCGGCATAATGTGGCGCGCTTCTCCAATTGACTTATGTTTGAAACCATGTGAGAGATGCGTACTAGGTGAAACAATGTCACAGCGCGTTACAACGTACTGCAATAAGCGCGATGAGACAGATACTACGCTGTGAAGAGCAAGGCTGGCCACGTAACTTATGTGCACTGGGCACATATTACAACAGCCATCACGTTTCACAAAGGATGGCAGGGCAGCTTATATGCCGCACGCAGCCCAGAATACCTACGCCAAGCTGATGACATCGCCTAAACTATGTGAATAAGTAATAGCTCCTGCTCACGTGTCTGATACCCATGATTGCGGCAAAGCTCCTCCACTTCTCGTTTAGATGGTTCAAATGTGACGGAAATAAACAGGACAAAATTGATATCTAAACCAAGGTCTTAGCTCTCATTTGCACGGCACGCGGCCTTCGCTCCAGGCCTGGTGCGGCGCGCGTAACATTGGATATCTTCCTATGTAGCATGTTTGGCCAGACCGCAGTGATTTCACACCATGAGATACGCTTCTAAATGAATTGCCTTGTGGGAGCCGTCACAAATCGTAAAGGAGCACTTTTATAATTTGGCCTTGACCTGCGGAGCTTAGTACACACTTAGGTTTGTTGCGTGGTCTAAGACCGCACGCTACGGCGCTATCGATTTCAGTTTGGTTTTCTAATTCGGCTTGGCCGTTCTTCAGATGAGCAGGGGGTCAAAGTTGTCGCCTCCGGCCAATGGTGTGCCGCTGTCGAGGCCGTCAATGCCGGGTAAAGAACATGCCGATTAACAGGTGGTCCATGAGTTCCCACTTCGTGACATATTTGCATGACAGATAGCTACCCCTCATGATAAGTTCTCTAAATCAAGTTGACGTGATAACTGACATAGCTGGCAAAAGCAGCATCAATTTGTATCACGAGCACTGACATTTTCATATCGTCATGTGACATTGCATTCCTGCTCTGTGGTAATGGAAAAGGCAAATTTGGTGGCGCCAAAAAAACGTACATCGTTACAAAATAAATAAATCTGATTTCAAACTAGGCATTAAGAGAGTAATGTACAGTGCATGAATCGTTTTGGATGACCAACCAATCATTACAAAATAAATAGCATTGAGTTCAAACTAGGCATAAAAAAGAAAGCGGTGCAGTATGACTTGGGCGCACTCGTTGCATTTGTATGCGAAACTTTAGGTATAGACCACCACGCATTGACTTCAGGCACATAGAATTGTGCTCCATGTCTATCAAATTAATTTGGCTGGACAGGGAAGCACTTGTGACAACAATATACGTGATAGCCGTCATATGGCATCATAAAATAAAATGAGGAGCGTTGTGGCTCTATGAACTGGGGTTTACGCCGGTACCTATGACGTTAAGAATCCGCAAGAAAGTGGCCGCACTTAGCTTAAGTTGGGTGAGAGGCCCACCCGCCTCTCAGTTTACATACGGAATTGAAAACGTTGCCAGATTGGCACCAAAGCTGGCCAGCTGTAGGACTTTTTAAAATTGCCGTGCATCAGCGGTGCTGGTAACGTGGCGCTCTTCAGTTAAGCTGTGCATCGTATCTCATCGCACTTAAGTACCTATAAAAAACTTACCCGCTTTCTGGGAAATCCGTGACATTTTTTTGTTCTCAGCTACAACTTAAGCAATATTACGGCACACCACAACAATACCAACAGCAACAAAGTAATTCCCGGTGTCACCCTAAACGTGGTACTTTTGCGGCTTAATTCTCGTGCACACGCAGCTTCCAGCAACCTCCTGGGAGCAGAAGCTAAACGTAACAAATCAGCGAAGAGCTTTCAAAGATCAAGATCGATCAAAATGGCCATGTGGAAGCGAGGCCGTTCATCCCGGGACGGCTAGATTACCATCTCGAATATGGTGGCTTGGCATAGTTTCGTTCCGAGCTACCATATTATCCATGCACAGAAATTTAGTGCAACATGTTTAAGTTAATGCAGTCAGCTGCATACCTTAGTTGTAAAGTAAAAAACACAAACACAATTTTAGCACAAATTTGGGTGGTTTCTCACACTTGCACACAAGAATAACCGAGATTGCCATCACTGGCACACTTTTGTTCTAATCTGGCAACAATTTATATTCCAATGTAACTGAGCAATAATGGCGATCCCGGCTACACATTTGCGCAGGTGTTAGAAAGGATCCAATTTGCGCTTAAACTGCGTTTGTACTTTTTAATTTACAATCAGGCTACGCAGCTCACTGAAAAACTTAAACATATTGTACTAGATTTCTATGTATGGAGAATATGCTAGCTTGGGACGAATCTGAGTCAAGCTGCTATATTCGATATGGTACCCTAGCCGTCCAGGGATGAACGGCCTCGCAGTCATATGGCCATCATTATCGATCTTGATCTTTGAAAGCTCTCCGCTGATTCGTCGGGTCTCGTTTCTGCTCTCAGGAAGCTGGAATCTGCTGGAAGCTGCGTGTGTACGATGATGAAACCGCGAAAGCGCTACGTTTAGGGTGACACCAGCTAATACGTTGTTGCTGATGGTATTATTGTGGTGCGCCGTATTATTGTTTAAGTTGTAGCTGAGAGCATAAAAATGACACGGATTTCCCAGAAAGCGGGCAAGTTTTTATTCTAGGTACTTCAGTGCGATGAGAAACGATGCACAGCTTGATTCAAGAGGGCCACATTACCGGCACTACGAATACACAAAAATTAAAAACCCCGCAGCTGGCCCGCTTTAATGCCTATCTGGCAACATTTTTAAATTCCCTATGTAAACAGAGCTACCGTGAGTCAGGATGCAGCCCGGCGGATCCCCCCTCCCCCCCCCCCCCCCATAAACACACACGGTCAGAGCAGTTTGTGTCTGCATCCGTCAGCGACCCCTGCGCACGTGCTCAGCTCATTGGGACCGTCCTGCTGCAGGTGCCGGCGTCCGGTGACGTCACCATCGACCGTCCGCTGCTGCTGGACGTCAGCACGGCCGCGCTCGGCACCGTGACTATCGTGGACGGCGGCCGGCTGGTCTTCGACCCCAGTGCCGACGAACTGCTGCTCAGCGCCAGCCTCATCGAGCTGGATGGTGGCGAGCTCTGGATCGGCTCCGAGGAGTGCCCGTTCGAAAGCCGCGCCGAGGTACTGCTCACTGGTCAGCGCGACGAGGCAGAGGGCGCCGCCGCCGTGCAAAAGGCCGTGCTCGTGCGACGAGGAGCCCTAGAGGTGCACGGTAAGCCCAAGCGCTCGTGGACCAAGCTGGCAGCAACAGTGCCCAAATCGACGCGCGAAGACCTGTTGGGTAACCCCATCTACAGCGTACAGGACGAGGAGGGCTTCCGTGGCAATGGCTTCCATATGTACGAACTTGACAGCGACGGTAACCCCGTACAGAACTGGGGGCGCGTGACGGGACCGAGAAAATTCAGTCGTGTGCTCGACCACACGGGCAACGTGGTGGTGGTGGCCGTCTCACTGATGACCAGGTTTGGCAGGCACGACCCGGTCGCTACGGCGGAGGTGTTTGAGTCGCTCTGCTACGGTGGCGAGCGACAGTCAGCCATTCGTGGCATGGTGGACCGCCAGCGGCTGGCGTTCGTCGCTATCTGCCACGTTGGCTCACCCGAGAACAGCGCAGAGATGGTCGGCACGGTCAACAACGGTCGCTCGCACACAGGACGCGTGGTGCAAACCATCGGCGATGTCGAATTCGCCGCCATGTCGACCGTAGTACTCAGTGGTCCTGGCAGTCCTCCGCCCGAAATAGCGTCCTATGTGGCCGGAACTACACCCTCCATGGACGTGATCCTGACTATGACCGCTGACGTCAGCTCCTGGGAAACCGGCGATAGGATTGTCATCGCCTCCACCGACTTCAACCGAGACCAGGAGGAGGAGTTCGATCTGCTGGACTGCCCTAGCTGCGACGCCACGCAGGTGAAAGTCATGGGTCCCATCTGGTACACGCACTGGGGTGAAATCACCGACGGCGTTGACATGCGTGGCGAGGTCGGCGACCTCACGCGCAACGTCCAATTCCACGGCCAAATGGAGGATGCCTGCTACGGAAGCAACTTGTGCGACAGCTTCGACTACGATACGTTTGGCGGTCAGATTAAGATGCTCGTTGGCTTCAATAGCGCTAGGATTGAAAACGCCGAGTTCTACCACATGGGGCAGCAATCAGTGATCGGATCATATCCCATCCACTTCCACATGTGCCTGGACACGTCCCAGAAAGACGTGTATATCCGCGGCAATGCCATCCACAACACGTTCTCGCGCTGCCTCACCATCCACGGCACGCACAACGTCACCGCCGAGAACAACGTGGCGTTCGACCACCTGGGTCACTGCTTCTTCCTTGAGGACGGTGGCGAGCAGGACAACAGACTGATAGGCAACCTCGGCATGGGCACCAAAGCGGGCACTCTGCTGCCAACCGACGCCCTCAACAAGGTCAGCACGTTCTGGGTGACTAATCCCGACAACGAAGTCATCAACAACGTCGCGGCCGGCTCCGAAGGCATGGGCATCTGGATCTTGATGCCGGATCTGCCCACAGGTCCTTCTGCCAACGTAGATATGGGTCTTGTGGAAAAGCAGGCATCGCGAACACTTGTCAAGGCCTTCCAAGGTAACGTGGCACACTCTAACAGGCGCTTTGGTTTCCGTCTGGACGATGTGCTCCTCCCTGACGGAACGGTTCAGCCGGTCAGCTACTTCCCGCGCGTGGATCCGACCGACCCGAGGAGCGACATGGCGTTCCTCCACCTTGACGATTTGTGGCCTACAAGAACACCGAGAGTGTCTGGATCAAGTCTATGCACACGCTGGCTACAAACTTCCGCATTGCCGAGAGTGGTATCGGTCTCATCTTTGCGTCGGCCGGGCCGGCCAACCCCAACGAGCATAACGAGATGCTGTCTGGGGCCCGTATCGTCGGCGACACAGCCAACAAGGGCGAGCCGGCGGGCGCCGTCCGACTACCCTCCGGACAGGTCATCCAGGTGGACCGCTCGTTACCTCGTTCCAGACCCGCGCAGCACGCGCAAATTGGCGTCGCCTTCTACCGCGGACCCGTGCATGTCGTGGACACGTCGTTTGCCGGCTTTCAGACTAACGCGCTGCGGCCGGCCGGCGCCATCGGCAAGAAGCTCAGCAACCCGTACTTCTCTTCGCCTATTGCCAGCGTGCGCAACGCCACGTTTGACTTCACCGACCCGGCCGGCGGCAGCCGCTTCTACGACGGTGACGGCACCGTGCCGGGCTATAAGGAGCGTGACGGTAACCGGCACAACGTCGTGCTCGACTGGGACGGCTCGCTTACCACCTACCCTCGCGCCAGCCTGGTGCGGCCCATCCCACTGTTGATGAACGCACGCTGTGTGCTCCTGCCCAACTGGGGGCCGGGCGTCGGGCTCTGTCCGGACCGCTTCAACCGCGTGCAGCTCAGCATCGCCGGTAACATCCCCACATTCATGACGCGCAACGACCTGCAGACCGCCGAGATGGAGACGGCGCTGGCCGAGCGGCAGGTCAGCTACTCACTCAACTCGGCCGAGTCGTACATCATGCACTTTAACACAACCGTGCCGGCCCGTTTCGGGTTCAACATGTTCGGTGTGCAGCAAGGTCTGGCACAGCTCGTCGGCGTCTGCGTGGGTGCCAACCAGGAGCCGGACGTAAAACCACGAATGCAATACACCTTCGTCAACGACATCCAAGAGGTATTAACCGACGAGAGCAACAGCAAGTACTTTTACGACCCGGCCATCGGAGTGGTGGTCTTCAGGTGAGTTGGCTCCATGCCGGTGTGGTAATCTTCAGGTAGGCAGGAGCACTGTAATGCGGGCGTCCCAATATCAGAAGGCCAGCATTACCAGGACGGTCAATAAACCTAAGCAGCGGACGGTGTATGCCTGTGGCCTGTGTTGACCCATGTGCTTAGTGGGTGTCCTGCGTTGGAGCTTTATGGCGCGCTCAGCTGCGGAGACTATGTCCCACCCTGGCAGAATAGGCGGCACTGCCGGGAATCGAACCCTGTACCAACACCATTGGTAACCCTATGTACTTTGTAGGATTCCTGGAACGGTTTTTTTGTAAACCCCATTGTTCGCAACGTCGGAACCCTGCGGGGAGCGACTGTTTTGTCATGTCTGATGTTTTCATGCATCAAAATTTCAACCATTGGAATGATCGCTGGTTACGATCAGCACATCACCACTGATTCATTCCGGGCGCGCGGACTTCCGGGGGCCGTTACACACCCGGCTCGAGTCAGGCGGATAAACTGTCGCACTTCGCCCGTCATCGAGACTGTGCGCACCACCGAGCGCAGGTAGCCGTGCTAGCGTCGATGGACGACTGACCGTGTATGTACCGCCAACAGGTTTACCAGCCAGACTCCGCGCACCGACACGACCACATCCCACTGTCCGGGCGACCTGGACGAGGACGGCAACGGCATTTGCACTACGCGCGTCGTCATCGAGCTGCCGGCGGAGCACGAGGACGGCGACTGTCGCTCCCGGGCCTACGCTGACAAGGCCTCGGCGGTCTACGCCACCGAGCCCGTGTCGGCCGAGGGCGCGCTCGCTGTGCCCGTCTTCGCTTAGCGTAGCGATCGGTCGGAAGACAGCAGAAGACGGCTGGTAGCCGGTGACGCCGCCCCTCTAGTGTCCAACAACGCAGGGCATAACTATGCGGCAATGGCAGGGAATGCACGACCTGTGTATGCTGAGTGTCGACGAAAGGCTGGGATCAATTTATGGGAAAACGACCTATCAGGTGGAGGCGATTTGGCATCGTGTGATCATCGGGGGAAGTTAAAATACGTCCAAAAATACATTCTTCCTTCAGAGCATCACGTTTCACGGAACTGAGCAAGTGTGAGCCGCAAGGCCAGGGCTTTAAAACGGGACAGAGTAGTGAGCTCCACACAACGGGCTCAGCCATACCAGAAAGCCTTTAATGACGTCACCAGGGCCTTGTCTTACGTCCAGCACTCTGGGCACTGCGTTGATGCTGTGTTGATGAGCTGTGGAACTAGGCGTTAACCTTTGAAGAAATATGAGACATCCGATGCTTGTCAAACAGCCGACAGCATAACTGTGTCCGATGGCAAATAACTTCATAAATATTCTGTCGCCATGGCCAGTACACCCGAGAAATACTTAGCGCTTAAAACCCAATACGCAGAATATTCGCAAAGCTGTGCAAAAGCGCTGTCAACTACATTTGAACTTAAATATTTGATGTGAAATTTTGACAAGGCCAGTAGGTGGCCAGCTGTAATATTCTTCGGTGATAGCTTATCATCCAAGCTCGCTCACAACAGACGTTACAATACTTGTCTGGTTTCTTTACATTTGCTGCTTGTGGCCCGGCCGCAGTTATCTCACTGCGGACAGCTCATTAAGGTGGTCCTAAATACACAAAGTTTGTCCAATGCAATGGGAACTGTGTTTGTGTTTGTGTTTGAGGAATTTCATGATCTTTTCTTTTGTAATGACTGCTGGCATCTATAGCTCAGTCTGTATGATGTTAAATTCGATTTTATGATCAACAAAGTTATAACCCAATTATACCCAGCATTCAAACCAATGGGTTATGTAACAGTCAGCTGACTAAATGAGCAGTTTCGTCTCCACTGATGCCGTCAAATATGGTGTACCTGACGTCATGCAAGCTTTGCTTCCAAACTATCTCCATTCCCACGCAAGCTCTATGCTGCTGCTTTTTCAGACCGAACGTCTCTACCTCGTAAGAAAGCCCTGACTGTGTCGGTAGTAGTTGATGACAATCACTCCTTGTTTAATCCTCTCAATGTTGGTGTTCTGTAAAAAAAAATACTGTGGCCGACAATGTCAAAAAACCTGAAAAATCATGTAGGCTCATTGGCAGGCATTTTATATTCATTTCTGCTATTGGGGGGTCAGGAAGTGGGAATAAAAGGCTGTCGCACGTTACGAAAGATCGCTGTACTAACGACCATTACTCAATTTGCATTGTACAAAACAGCTCAGCTTAGAGTGTACGCGTCTGTCAGTATCTGAAGCTAAAACAGAAATGAAAATTTTGAAGGTTACACAGTGGGGGAAAAGGATGACATTTCAATGACATTTTGCAATATCTTGGATAACGCAAACGTCAGATGCTTGTCATGCATACATACCATGCAATTTGTGTTTAACATGTTGTGCAAGGCCAGATCCAGGTCAACAACATGGATGACGTACAATCAGGGCCACCTTTCTTCGTCAATCCGCGACTTGGGTATCCCATGGTTTACTACCTTTAGTGCGCTCCCGCCCAATATGCATGATGCATATTCAGCGTGACGTATGTAAACGGCTGCATGGGTTGATTATCCATCTTTATTTTAACGATAGAAGTATATCGCACACTCTCACTTTCCTGTGGCCTCACGCAATACAGACGGGCCGCAGAAAAACGAAAACCTGGAATCGTCTATGGTGTTTTTTTTTTTTTTGAAACTCTGACGCCCTACGCGCATGACGCTACGCGCTATTTTAATGCACGCTGTTAGCACAAGCAAGAATTGCACCAGTACGCTGCTCATTCTTCGCCTGAGTGTGTCCGCCTACCAAGTTTTCGCGATTTGTCTGACTGCCTGAAAACCTGCGATCTTTATGTTGCCTCAAAGTGCACCGGAAGTGTGTCGCACAACCTTGCCTTTAACACCCTCCGACATAGTAGACTGACTGCATAAAAACAAAGACCTGGAACCATCTCTGCGCGACTGATTTCTCAAAAATTTTGGCAGTACGTGTTGCGCATGGAATATATGTTTAAAGCTTCGGATTGAGTCCACTGGAGAGTCAGTGCCTTGTTAAGTGCATGGATAGCTGCGGCGTGCTGTTGTGATATATTTCCATATTTCTTTGTTCTGGCAATTCTTCTTTATGCCGTCATGTTCTTTGCAAACTTTGGCTTTAGCATGGAGCGCGTGGAAGGCCAATTCACTGAAGTATTACTTTCACTACGGCAATGCTTTAGTGCACAGCCCTATATGCGAAGAAAAAAAATGCAAAGCCACAAAACGCGCACGTGTCGATTTCTCGTTTGCGATTTCAGGAGTCAAAAACGTGATTTGTAATCAGGATTTACTGTTCGTTCTGGCGAACTTTTTAACTGCGGGCCCAACCAACACCTGTCAATAAAGCGTATAAGATACGTCATACATCCATGAAAACGTTCGAGGGTTTGATCATCAGTCGGTTCTCAAGGGCGTTGGACACACATGGCCACAGGTAACAGTATGCTGTTATGACTAATATAGCATCCTCTTCTCTCTGGACCATCTAAACCTCGAGCTGTTTCCTCCTGTCACCACATGCGTGGCACATTGGATGACTTGGGGTTTGTTGCCCGCCAAGAAAAAACACCTGAGCTTCGCTCGCCACCTGACATGCAGCAACGCCTGACTGGTACCACACGCTCGCACTTGAGGACACGTTTGCAGAAAAAAACGCACTCATCGCTCGTGCACCGAAAACGCCGACTCTGTCGACAAACAGCCGTGTGCGATAATACGGGTTCGAGACGCTGCTCATGGCCTGAGCCTATAAGCCAGCGCCTGAGTCGATCGCTGGCTATCACGGAGCCAGCGGACAGCCGGTGTTTGCCCGCGACTGTGGCGGCGCCAGCCCGTCGGCCGGCCCCCCTTCCGGCGTCGGCACTCACCTAGCTGCTGGCTCTGGTGCAGCGGCGCCTCGAATAGGTGTCGCACGTGCTGGCTGACTGTGTGCCGGGCCGCCTCCAGGAACACATCTGGTATGTCCACGGTCATGTAGGACATGTGCGCGTCATCTCCCAGGATGAAGGCCTCGATGAGCGGCGTCCGCTGCAGCGAGGCGGCCAGCTGCCGGCGCACAGACACGCTCACGTACACCTACCAGCGCACACACGCACACGCACGCGCACGCACACGCACACGCACACGCACACACGCACGCACGCACGCACGCACGCACGCACGCACGCATGCACGCACGCAGGCAGGCACGCACACACACACACACACACACACACACACACACACACACACACACACACACACACACACACACACACACACACACACACACACACACACCTGCAGACGCACGCCGGAAACGGCAGGCTGACTTGACAGTACCCACATCTGTGGCGCCCGACGTCCACACATTTTTTGGTGCGTTCTTTGTGCCATTGTATGCCGCCGGGAAAACCACTAAAACCATACACACTATAGAATACTAAGTCAGCGAACACGGAATTAATGCTTAGCGTCCGCGGACGAGGGCGGCACTCGCCTGGTTGATGGGGAACAGGGCGGCCTCCTCGATCTCGGTGAACGGCGGGTAGAAGGAGACAGTGCACCCGTCCAGGATCAGGTCCACCTCCAGCAGAGGCAGCATGCTCGGGAAGCGGAACAGGCTGACGTACGCCTCCACCGTGCGCATCAGCACGTTTCGGAGCTGCCGATAAGGTAGGACCATCACTGCACCGGCTCGCCAAAGCAACCATGAAAGCGCAGCATTAGCTCCAGCTTCGATCTTTTAAGTACTATGACATCCGATTCGTCTGTATACGGCCTCTACACAATGAGCAGCTTAGCTGCATGTGTGCATCGTGACACGGATGATCTTTTGAACTCGCATATCCCAAGTGGCAAAGCAGGACGCAGTTTCTAAACCACGGAGCCACCGGCTCTGTTCTCACGCGGGGCTCTCAGTTGGCTAATTCACGCACCTATTTTCATAACAAATCAAGCGATCGTGCAAACGGCAGGCCCAAATTTTCATCGACGGAAAATCCATGTATGAACCTAAAGGCCAGCGGCAGTGTCGCAGGTCAAGTAAATGAAACATCTCTCACTGATTCCAGTACCAGTTTTGTCAGGAATCCACGAATTTGACAGCTCTAGCGTGTGAGGGGAGTGCAAGTGCAGGCGCTGGATCACCATCACTGCCTGTTTTGGCATCTATCGGCTGTATGTCATGTGAGATCACGTCGGACGGTGGTGTAGTTTCCTATTCAGCTGGCGGGCTCCGATTGCGCTAACTCTGGGTGCAGCCCCGCTGTCGTACCCCGTCATACATCACAATACATCCGTCAAACAATCTCCGTCATACATCACAAACATGCACAAGTGCGCGACAAACAAAGCTGAATGGCGTCATCCCGTAGCCTCCCAGCTTTCTTGCGTGACCTTGCAGAAGCGAGGCAGCGATAGAGGGACCTTTGGATCTCCGGTTGTACTTGTACCGACGTGCCACCGCGTTGTGATTAGAAGCTATCGCACGGAAGCGGTAAAAAAAAAAACAGACGGCCAAAGCCACTCAGCCGATCACGGTTATCAAGTCATCACGGCACAAGCTAGGATTACCCTGGTTATTTGTCTACATAAATCGCCTCGCATGTTCATTTCAAGGAGCTGAAAGGCCTCAGTTTGCTGCCCGTCTCTCCGGCTTCTGTTGCAGGCAGCGCAAACTGAGGGGGTATACCCAGTGACTGGGAAGCGCGGGGCCAGCTCCCGCACTGCCGAGACAGCTAATCGGCTTATATGCCCAGGAATGCCCCACCGGGCAGTACAAAGCACGCCGCGCCGGTGGGTCGGCCGTATGATAACGATCGTGCGGTACGAGGACGGCCACACGCCCCCACGCCGGCCGTTAGTAACAGGCGGCAGAGCGGTGCCGTCGGACGTGCTCTGCCTGACCAGTCCCGCCCAAAGTATATATATATATATATATATATATATATATATATATATATATATATATATACCTGATGGAGAAAATTATAGGTATACGTGATCGTCGTTTTCATCGCGACGAAAACCAAGAGCAGGATGCGGCGTCAAAAGCACAACGAAGACGGCGGCGGGAGGCCAATGTGCGCACTGTGTCAGCTGGCACAAAAAACTGGTTTCTCGGCGAGGTTCGCAAACCGAGGAAACTGGGCCTGCAGATTTTGATCCAGTTTCGTAGTTACGAAAAGAGGAGAGAATTCCGAACCATGGAATAACTTTCAACCACATGCGATGCAAGGTAACTGGGAAGCTCTCATTTGTACACTGGCAAACAGTTAGCCGATGCCATAAAAAGCCGTTGCAGGTGCCGTTACTGTCGTTGCACACGAATGACCGCAATGCGCTGGCACCTGTTAAATAACTTCTGGAAACCAATGAACCACTGGCACATATCGTTGAAGGCTAGCCCTGCACACATCCGATGCAGAGCGCGCTGACCCCGTATCACGGGGAGCCGCGCGCGTGAACGGCCGTGCAGGACGTTCTGATTCGTAGTTCCCACCTATCGGGCCCACGTCTCTTTAAAAAGTCATGCACCATCTGACCCATTCACAGGCGTGCGAGTGCTGACTACGCCTTTCAAGAGGAAGCCACAACCGGCCCAGGCATGCCACTTGTGGGCCGTTTGAATGCAATTCATTCATAAGCAGCGCTGTAGTTGTGGGTAGGCAAACGCGCCACGTAATTCAGCGGGTCTCCCCGCTCGATTCCGGCTTCAGGCAAGCCACTTGCCGGCGGTCTGAGTGCCACCCACCCGCCGCGAGAGCTGTGGACAAACACGCCGTGTGATTTGAAGGCTCTCCCCGCGCCGACCCGTCCGCCGCAGCCGTCGCGCCTGCCCGCACTGGTGACGTCAGTGAAGAGAGCGCCCAGCCGGCGGCCCAGGCGCGGCGCCGGTGAGGCGCGACAGCCGTGGCGCGGGTGACGCCTGAGGCATCAGGGGACGGTGCTCGGCACATCAGCAGAGTCGCCTGTGCAGCCCGTCGGCTTGTCGTTAAGGGGTATGTGAAGGAAAACATGTGCATCCAGTGTCTTAGAATTGCCGACTTCGGGTGTAAAGCAACACCCAGGAACGCTCCACCAGGCAGTACAAAGCACGCCGCGCCGGTGGGTCGGCCGTATGATCGCGATCGTGCGGTACGAGGGCGGCCACATGCCCTCACGCCGGCCGTTAGTAACATGCAGCAGAGCGGTGCCGTCGGACGTGCGCTGCCTGAACAGTCTCGCCCGAAGTGTATATATATATATATATATATATATATATATATATATATATATGCACCTGACGGAGCAGATTACAGGCATGCGTGATCGTCGTTTTCATCGCGAAGAACGCCAAGAGTAGGATGCGGCGTCAAAAGCACATCGAAGCACAAGAAGATATGAGGGGAAGTTTTTCATTCCTTTTCCCCACACTTCGTGTGAATTTTTCACTCCTGCCTGACATTGGCTAATCGCACATGTCGAACCCCTATTTCCCTTTCTGAGGTTTTCACATGCCATCCAAAACCGACCTCACTTGAAACCACCAAGCATAAACGAGGCTCCACAGAACCTGGACACCTATGGCTATGTCCTGCCTCACCTACATCTGAATCATGTCTATGTATGCGCTGAGCAAGAGGGCCAGGCGCCTCCAAGCCCAAGAACGCAAGCGACTTCAGCTGCTCGCACGCATTAAGTTTGGTTTGTTTACAAAATGCATCACAATCGGCAGCTGTGTGCCAAATGCAAGGTTTTCACGCGTCGCCTATTTGTTTGGTCTCACCACCATGCTACGAAAGCAGAGCCTCGTGCAAGCACCAGCAAGGCATGGTGGATAATTTTACTTCACGTATTTATATTCCTAAATAAACTAAATTGCCACTAAATTGCATCACTCCCGAAATGCAGGAGTGAAAAATTCAAGAAGTGTCCTCTAAATTAAATTTACAAGATGAATATCAAAATTTCAGCACTCCTGTTAACAGATTTTAAGTCAAATTAGCTGATAACAAAATTTTGCCAGAAAAGTATCAGTCTTTATATCTATTCAACTACTTTTGCTTTTCCTGGTACCATACGAGTGTGATACCACTTTATTCTTCCTTCCTTTTCGATTGCCTTTAGAGGCACCATCTTTTGCTTAAAATGTTGACCAATTTCTCTGCAAGATGCTCCAACTGCAAACTTGTATGTATTTCATGCATAAATTGGATTAATTCGCCAGCCGCCCAAAACATGTTTGATATGCATCAAAAGAGTGAACAATTTACAGGGAATGAAGGAGACAATTTGAAGCACGGCACGTATTTTTACCGCCATTTTTGCCTTGTTAAAGCCTCGGTTAACCGTTTTCTTGGTTCATGGCGGTGCTCAATAATGATAAATCTAAGCCTTTCGAGTGTCTAACTCACCAGGCTACCTGACCAGGCTACCCTAATGCTGCCATACAAAGCTTTGGGACAGACATGACGCAGCTAATACAGAAGTGTTTGATGGCGAAATTCTGCCCTCTGGAGATGTTAATCATGCACACCTCTAACTTGTTTCGCATTTTAATCTCGTAGGTTGGTGGGCATAATTGATATTTATATTTGGCGGGTGAGTGATATGACTCTGTCTGCCAGCAGACCACGCAAAATGTACTGGCTTTTTGTTTCGGGGAGCGGGAAAAAGCCAGTAAGTCTGCCGTGGACCAAATAATTGCTTACCTTACCTGCTGTCAACCCATGTTTGGTAGCCAGAGTTACCCATTTTCTGTTTTAATCCATCCAGTTTTGTCATAAGACAAATTATGATGCAACGAGGGATGCAATGGGCATATTTCTTTCCATATTCTTGATTATTTGCCTCAAATTTCTTGAAGTGGTCCCTCATGGCTGCTTCAGCCAGATGTTTTCTACAGTTGCCATGGTTTGCTGACTGGCAAATGACTGTACTGTATATGTGCACTATATTTTTAACACATGGATATTCTATGCCGCATAGCAATTATAACTGAGTTAAATATTAGTATGTAATAAACAGTCAGACCATCCTTTTTAAAATGTGAGGCCAACGTCTCACACTTTGTCGTTGCATATGAATAAACAAGCCTAAATAGATGTCTTTGCTGCAGCTGAAAAGGCAAGCAGCAATACTGGCATGGCCATCTAAAAGTTATGTGAATTTTGGAGAAGAGAGATTGCCTTATGGAGCATGCCCATCATTGCTCTTGACATAGGCCAACCATGGCAATCAAAATAAGTTGTTCGAAGTGATATAAAGTATTTTGATGTGTGTGTTGTCAACTTTGCCCGATGTCAATAAGCATACACAAATGAACTGTATAAAAATGCAAGTTGAAACCGGCCAAAAATTAGCTTTATCATGTTTTTATCACAAGTGCTGCTGTCAACAGAGAGGTGAGTTGAGATGATGTTCAACATATGGGCTATTCTAAGTTAGGTTAAGTTGGCTAAGTGCTTGGCAAGTGACAATAGGAATTGTGCAAGAATCAGAACTCACAACTGCTGCTGTGATACAAACAGGTTAGACAGGACGATATGAAGGAAGGCCTCTTTAGGTTAGGCATAGTTAGGCTACTTTCATGGAAATAAAAGCATTGGTATTTTGTAAGGAACAGTGACAAAATGTTTGTTTTCCCTGACCCCATCTTAACAGAAGCCAGAGGTATGTCCATTACGTTTGACTTGGTGATGGGCTGACGTGTAGAAGGCCCAGGTTTTTTGTGTGAGTGTTTTATGTTTGTTGAATGTTCTGTTGTTATTTTGTTATTGAATTCCGTTGCTTTGTGTTGTGTTAAAAGTGCTGTGGAAGGGAAGTGCAAAGTGCAGCATCAAATTATTGGTGTTAATAATTTTGCGCGCTCATTACACTGTCATGAAATTACTATGCTTTAATGTATTCTGTGTCACTTTAATAGCTTAAGATGTTAAAAAACAAAACAGTTTTGTCAGGTTTCTGATATTACGCCCACGCCAACTTGAAATAGGTGTCTTTGTTTGCTGAAGCATCAGTCACGAGCTCACAAGTTCCATCTTTTGTGAACTGATTCTTTCACTTCCACATGGTCTTTTTGCGATGGAATTTTTCACTCCCACCCTAGTTCAAAGGCAATTCTAGCTGATTGTGTGCATCGCATCCTCAAAAAATGTCGCAGACTTCGGATGTAAAAATATGCCAATTTCGGAACGAGAAACTGTTTCGTTGCAGAGTTGTCAAGCTGCGCACCTTACAGGCTCGGAATGGATGACAAGATCAAGAACAACTATAGCATAAAGTCGCAGACAAAATTGAATCGCACACTGCCGCAACCTTTTTACCAAACGCCCTGCCAACGTGTGGTTGCGGAGCAGAGAAACTACAGCCTTATCAGCTGACAGGGGTCCGCATGGTGGGCCTCGCAGCCGCGGAGCTGATTGCGGTGAGCACAAACAGCCGGGCCGGGCCATCAAGCGGAACGAAAGACGGCCACACACCCACGCCGGCCGTTAGTAACAGGCGCCAGAGCTCTGCCTGTACAGCCCGGCCGCTCCCGCGCCCGCGCCAGCACGAGCACCCCTCTCGCCACCGTCACTCTCTGGGCCCGCAGTGAAGCCGGAGCCGCCGGGTGTGGGCGGACGCGGCGACTACCGGTCTCGCGTGCCAAACGGCCGGCCTCAAACAGGCGGTGGTGACGGGCGACAAGACAGAACCTGAGCAGGAAAGGACGGGTAGCCCTCCTGTAGCGGCACCAGCCAGGACATATCGTCGGTCAGAGTGTCAGGCCTGGGGGGAGGGGAGGGGGGACGGGCGGCGATACACACCGCCAATATTTCAAGAAGGGCTGTTGGCGCTGCCCACCACCAGCACGCCCCACGGGAGCTGGTCGCAGGCGGCTCCCACCTCGTTGGCGGCCAGCGTGTTGGCGCTGGCGAACAGACGCTGCCGGTGGAGCTTGCCGCCGCCGGCCGATGTGACCGCGCCGAATATGTCCACCAGCTGGCGGTACCAGGTGCGGTCCAGCCGCACCTCCTCCGTCTCGCACTCCTGCGTCAGCGTCTCCTTCCAGGAGTCGACGCTGAACTGGCGAGGAAATCTGCCGGCCGGCCGAGCGCGGCCAGGTCAGAGAGGCGCCCACTCCACAGCGAGCAAGCGATCAGTGACGGGTGGGGCCGCTATGACACACTGGATGGTAATTTGCTGCCACTGAAGGGATGACATGCGCGCGAATAGATCTTTGACTGGGCTCCAAGTGCAGCAATTGGCCTACGCCGGTCTCGTGCTGGCGAGTAAGTGGAGCGTTTGTTTGGCTACCAGTTACACCAAAATAAATGGCACTGGAACATTTGGCCCACAATAATTTGATTCCCAGGCAGCCGCTCCATTTGAGCCGTGAACAGTTGCTCCAGCCAGGAACACCCGAAAGGCAAATATCATGCGGTCACGACCTCGACACCATTGGCTCATATCTGTTCCCTACGTTTATTCTAGGCCCGGAACGCATCAAGCGAATTGTAGAATGTCACAAACACCGCTCTCCTCAGGGAAAGAAAACCAGCTGGTGGATGCGTCACCATCCCAGCAACACAAATGTTTTCCTCTAGTTGACGTGTCCCACCGACGCAGTCAATCCCAGCAATCATACGAACACACACAAAACCAGCGTGTTATGCTCATAAGTCACTACGAGTGATGGCGAAGGCGGGCGCTGCAACATCTAGGTCACGGCCCGTTCCTCCGCGCCGGCAACAGGCCGCCGTTCCACTCACTGAAACTGCGTCCAGTCGACGAAGAGCGCGTCGCTCAGTACCGAGCGGCACAGCTGGAGGGCGTCCCGCAGGCAGTGGTGGGTGACCATGAGCCGGCGGTTGACGCGCTGCCACGCCTCAAAGAACGCCTGGTACCACGGCGAGAAGCCGACCCACCTGCGGTGCAGCAGGCGGCGATTATTTACGGACGCATCGCGGCTGCATCGACTTTTACGGCCTAGGTCAGCGACAGCAAGCACGCCAAACAGACTGACGCAGGCAAAATAAGCACGGTCGTATTTTTATCCGAGCGCGCGGTGCCGGCAAGCCAGACGCGTCGCGGGCCCGGGCGCGAGTTGTCGCTCACAGTCGCACTCTGTAGGCCTTCACCTAGTCGCAATGACTCGTTAACTGCCAATGACCATCTGGTAGGTCCTGTCATCCAGAACCGGCAAACCAACTCGCTGGCTGTTAAATATCGGCGGCTATCACATCCTGTTATCTACTGTCAAACGTGACTGACCGATGTCTGTAATGTCCGGCAGAAGGTGGACGTCACTAGCGACGCATTTACAACAACCGAGGAACACGCATTAGCTTGAACCAACCTCAACCAGCCAGGTTCACTTTGTTGACTAAACCAACAAAGTGTAACCGGAAGTAAAAGGCGAGCGACACCAGACATGAAAAATTTTACATAAACCGCCCGCCAATGCTTTTGACCAGCATGGCCGCACTCCAACCTCCCCCCCCCCCCCCCCCCGGCACGGGTTGGCGCGATAAATTCAATGGCTAGTGACCCTGATAGTCGTAACCGGTACGCATCATATAGTAATACCAGAGAAGTTGCGAGGTTGTATTGCCGGGCGGATGAGCAAATAACGCGGGTCAGACCAATGCTCTGGGGGGGGGGGGGAGGGCAAGCCGATTATGTGGTGTTTGGGGTCAACCCTCTGAAACAATCGGATCGTCACTGCCTCCGGGCAGAACATGCAAGGCTTCGGGGGGGGGGGGGGGAGGGGGCAGGGCCTCGGTTCCAGCCCCCGCTAGCTATACACATGATTGGTGCGCTATTAACCTGATGGGACCGTAATTGCAGCCGCGGTTGTTAATTCTACGCTGATGTACAACGTGACACGCCGAATATTTTATACTACAATACGCCGAATTTCTTATACCATCTTTGGCATCGTCTGCGCAAAACGACGCTAAAAGCAGGGCATGCTATGAGGAGATGAAGTCCCCATTCAAGTGTACTGGCCAACGCTGATGTCTGACAGCCGACGCACCACCAATACACCAACAGACGGCGGCCGTTCAAACGTGTGCAGCTGTGACTGGCACCCGTCGGCGGCAACCCGCCCCCTCCCACCCCCCCCCCCCCCCCCTCCCCCGCTCCCCGCGGCGCTCACGGCAGTTCGGTGTCTTTGGCGCGCGGTACGGGCGGCTCCACCACGGGCTTCAGGTCTGGCACCGTGCGCGCCACCAGGTCACGCCGTAGGCGGTCGGTGAAGCCCTGCCGCACCTCCTCCACGAGCGCCGCCACCTCTGTCCCGTACTTGCGGGTCAGCGGCGCCGGAAGCAGCTGTGGACACGGCCGGAATCAGCCGCGCGCTTCACCCAGGCCAGCTGTGGACTCGGCCGAGATTAGCCGTGCTCTCCGCCCGGGCCAGCTGTGGACACGGCCGGAATCAGCCGCGCGCTTCACCCAGGCCAGCTGTGGACACGGCCGGGATCAGCTGTGCTCTCCGTCCGGGCCAGCTGTGGACACGACCGAGATTAGCTGTGAACACGGCCGGGATCAGCCGCGCACTCCGCCAAGGAATAGCTGTGGACACGGCCGGGATCAGCCGCGCACTCCGCCAAGGAATAGCTGTGGACACGGCCGGGATCAGCCGCGCGCTCCGCCCGGAATTAGCTGTGGACACGCCCGGGATTAGCCGTGCCCTCCGCCCGGGATTAGCTGTGAACACGGCCGGGATTAGCCGTGCTCTCCGCCCGGGATTAGCTGTGGATACGGCCAGGATTAGCCGTGCTCTCCGCCCGAGGCCACTCAGAACGGGATCGATATCTGCTGTGAGCGCTGTCCGCTCAGCTGAGCACCAGATCTGAATCGGCCGTGGCCGCTTTGGCAGCGGGACGATCGGGCACGACCGCTGTTGATAGAGTTGAGGGTTTAATGTGAATATTACACATTTCGCCGAACATTCTGGAAGTAGCGAGCGCATTTGGGCATAAAACATCCTAGAAATCGATGCACCCTAAATAATCAGCTTCCATCTATCGGACGAGTGTTACTCTATGACCCGTATCGATGTATAGTTTTACATGGACGCATGCATTCAGCACACTGAATCAAGTATTTAAGCAATTAGATACCAACGATTTTTGTTCTTAGCTCAACCTCAGCATAGTGCGACAAGGATACATGGTGTCAGCTTCAGCGACACTGATCTACCGCATGTGCACTTTAAGCGTTAAGATTTAAATGAAAATTAATTTACCCAGACGCATCGCAACAATGCAATTAGACAGCAAACCATGAATGACCACGACCATGAACCGATCAGGGCACAACAATAACTCAGTGCACATACTAGTGGCGGTCTTAGACAGACAGAGGCAACGGCAGCTCTCCCTGACTTGGGAGACCGATAGCCAACTTTGATTATTATTTTCTCCAATGAACGAAATGACCCTTGCGAAAACAAACCCGCGGTCCAAAACAGGCCGCCTTTATCAAATAACGGGCCACATGGGAACCGGCCACACGGGTGCGCCCATAGAGCTATCTGGAGTCTGGTTAATTCACGAGATCCGGCTGGGCGGACATGCTGATTGACGATCGAGTGTTCCGGCAAACGACGTGCAGTTAGAGGTGATGGTGCCATCCTGGCGTGGAACGGCCATCGACGAGCGTGGGAGAGCGCCAGGTGACGCCGGCGTAGTACCGAGCCATGTCTGGCCAGTAGTAGCTGGTGCCATGGCGCACGCGGACTGGTCGCGCCGCCCGCGGTGTGGCAATGTGGTGCCGGTCCCCGAGTGATCTGTCGAGCTCGGCTCAGGACGACTGAGGAGACCGGACGCGGTATATGGAGCCACTGGACCGGGCGACAGGCTGACGAGAGGGCGCTACTGAGCGGCCGCCGCCGGTAGAGGATGCTCACTACGGGCCGGACGGTTATCAGAGGGCACTCCTGGATCGGGCCGCCAGCATGCGCGACCAATGAGACGATATCGATTATGTTCGACGGACCTAGCTCCAGCATCTCCGTGGAAACAGGACCAGTGTTTTGATGGACGGCCACTAGCGACTGGGCTGTTTATCGAGGTTGTAAAATTAAGCTGTTGACCAAATGACGGCGGACGCAGTGGCAGCGTGTCTGGCAGAAACGAAGGTCGCGTGTTAGGTGCCGGGGCCTGGCTCCTGCCCGTGAACGTTCCCACGCCGCGGCCTCCTGAGCACACCGTGCACTGGCCCGTTGACCGGTCAGTTCGCGATGCCCTCCCAGGGCACCTCCCTTCTGCTGGCCTTGATGACGTTCGTGACGCTCACCTCATCCGTGCTGTACTACCTGCAGCAGTCTGACTTGGCACCAAGCCTACCGGCGGCGCGGGGCCACGCCGCGGCTCCGGCCGGCACCTGGATCGACCTCCCAGTCAGCACGCGGCCGCGAAAGACAGTCCTGCTCTACACCCGGCTGCAGGGCACCTTCGAAAACTGGCGGCGTCGCTTCGGCGAGAGCTTCGACGAGTGCCGCTGGTCGCGCTGCGAGGTGACGACCGAGCGGGCCGCGCTGCCCGCCGCCGACGCGCTGCTCTTCTCGCTGTACGACCTGCGACCGGACGAGCCGCTGCCGCCGCGCCGGCCCGGCCAGCTGTGGCTGCTGTACGAGCGCGAGGCGCCGCCGGCCGTGCGGCGCCGGCACCCCTCGCTGCTGGGCGCGATTGGTCGGCACTTCCACTGGGCCATGTCGTACCGGCATGACGCCGACATCCCCGTGCCGTACGGCATGGTGCTGCCGCTCGGCCAGGCGCCGCCGGCCGCCAACCAGTCGCGGCCGCCGCGAGCCGGCCGCAACCCGTGGACGGGCCGCGTGGAGACGGCCGGGGCGCGCGCGGCGCGCACGGCCCGGGCCGAGCGGGCGTTTGTGGCGCAGTGGCGCCGGAAGGTGGGCCCGCGGGTGGCCCCCGTCGTCTGGGTCAGCTCGCACTGTCACACGGAGAGTCAGCGCGAGACCTACGTGCGCCAAATGCGAGACACCATCGACATCGACGTCTACGGCGAGTGCGTGCCGAGGCCTCCACGCACAGATGTTGCAGCGCGTTATGTTGAAACGTAACTTCCGAGCTCATATCTTCTGACGTTTGTCCAAGACAACTGGAGAGCTGCGTTGATTCTCAAAAGGCTTACACTGCAATCACACTGTGCGTACATTTTCTTAACTAGCCAAATCGTTAATTGGTGTCTCTGGGAAAGGGCGCAGATAGCCACAAAGATATCACTCCAGCCCCGAACAAGCGCCTCCTTTATGTTGCAGGTGCGGCGAGCTAAGCTGTCCCATCACGAAGAAGGGCTTTTGCATGCGTCTGTTCCAGCAGCACTACACGTTCATGCTCGCCTTCGAGAACGCGCTGTGCGAGGACTACGTGACGGAGAAGTTCTTCAACGCGCTGCAGTACGGCCTGGTGCCGGTGGTGCTGGGCGGCGCCAACTACAGCCGGCTGGCGCCGCCCGGCAGCTTCGTGGACGCGCAGCAGTTCGCGTCGCCGCGCCACCTGGCTGAGCACCTGCTGCACCTGAGCGGCGCGCCGGCCGAGCTGGCGCGCCTGCACGCCTGGCGGAACCACCACCGCGTCTACAGCGGCGAGCGTCACTTCACATGGTGGAAGTGCGAGCTATGCCGGCGGCTGCACGAGCGGCGCGCGCACGTTCACCACACGGACATGTACCGGTTCATGCTGGGCGAGCAGCAGTGTCAGGGCTCGTGGCAGGCGGCGCTGGCCGCGCGGTACGGCCGGCTGCCGCAGGACGACGAGGAGTGACGCGCGGGTCACGCGGCGGCGGCAGCGGAGGCGGTGCGGGGTGGGACGGCTGGCGCGCGCGTCTGGACCGGATCAGCGCGCCGCGGAGAGCCGCCAGACGCGGTACACCGGTGCTCACTGGTGTTGTGAGGTCAACATTCCATTGTGCGGAATTGGACACCCGGGGGTCGAAGCACAGGACAGTACTTGACTCCAGGACGGTGCTCCCAGTTTCGCCACAATGCACTGTATTTCTGTACCGCGTGACTCACGTTTGATCCAATGTCTGTATCTTCACGACGTTTGCGTTATAATCTCGTATATGGTTTGTTGTGCATTGATAACGATACCCAAAGTAATGTACGTAAAGCATAGGTGTCATCAACAGCACAGTGTCCTGACTAGCAATCCTGCATTAATAACTGCGTCTCTGACCCAAACCAGCTACGCTTACCTGGCTTGCAAAAAGCAGACGTAGTCAGACGTAGACGAGCTGTAGAAATGAATCTGTGTTTCTGATCGGGTGTGACCTGCCTCTGACTTGAACTTAATCAGCGTCTCTGATCTGGACGTGACATCCTGATTTGGACGTGACTCGAATACCTGACCTGGGCCCGAGCAGCACCTCCGGTCTGAATGTGGTCAATTTCTCTGACCTGGGCTTGAGCTACATCTGAACTGGACATAACCTGTGTCTCCGACGGTTAGACCCTCTTGGCGCCTTTGACCCAGACCTGACGCATACCACTGACCTAGAACCCGACCTGTCTCTATCCTGGACCTGATCGACGTCTTTGACCTCGATGCGACTGCGCCCCCAACAGCTGCAGGTGACCCGCGTCGCCGGGGTCTCTGACCAGCCCGGCATGTGCATTCCTGACCGCCGAAGCTGGTCGCCACGAGTGACCTCGACGTGGTCCGTGCAGTAAAGACGCATTTGTGTAGCGCCTGGGCATGACCTGCTCCTCTGACCTGGAAATGGTCTGTGTCTACCTACCAGGAAATGGCCTGTGACCTGCTTTGCGCCTGAGCTGGATGTGAGCCGCCTTCCTGACCTCCGGACCTGACCTGTGTCTCTGACCTGGACCATGTTGTGCAGCCACAGCTCGGAGACGGGCGGAATAGGCGACAGCCCCACGCAGTCCTGCAGGAAGCTGATGTGGTGCTGGTCCTTGAATGTGGGCTCCCAACCGGTGGGGAACGGGCGCCGCTGTAGACGCTCATACACGCGCGCCTTGTCCAGCATGGCGCGCAGCTCGCTGGAGCAGGGCAGGGTGGCAGGTTATGTCAGCGACCAGTGCAGCCTGACATGGCTTGCCGATATAGGTGGCAATGGGCGCATGGAGACGTGCCGTTAGTTTTTCGTTGACTATCATTATGTTATATTGTCAGATTGTGTTTTGAGGCCTCTGTATCATAGTGTGTTTAGCTGACCGATATTCAGCACATTTCCCATACAATGAACATATCAACGGCCCAGCGAGGGTTCAGCGCGGATTCCTTCATTTGCCCTACAAGGGTTGCCTGCATCAGCTTCTCGACCACGCGTGCCCCTAGACGGCCATTACACCAAGCACTGAACGCCCAACACGGAGCAAATATGATCGCTACCACAAATACTAACGGGGCACGTGCGCGGAGCGCATGCGGCGGTGGGTGATGGAGGTCTGACAATCACGCACCAGCACCGCAGGCCAGCGCAGCGCCGACCAGCATAATATCGCAGAATTTGCTACAGCTTACTGCATACAGACCTTCGACCAAACTTGGCTAGCAGTATCCGCCATGAATTCGCGTTGGGCCAGTGTTTGTTCGTGAATCGTTGTCAATGCGGTGCTGGTGCAAGTTAGCATGGAAATTGTTAAAGCGCTGAACACAACGACCACAACTTACAGGTGTCTCTGGAGCTTCAGTTGTTTTTGTTTTTCGGCCCTAAATTTAAGAAGAAAACAATCCTTAAATTGGTCTCTCCTGAAGGGTTGATAACTTGCATCTACAGCTACCGGTGGCAGCTTCACTTCTGAATGACTCGATTTCTTTCTTCGCAGTGCCATTGTGCGGATGTTAAATCGCCGATTTTAAAGATGAAATGGCGGGACGTCCACGATGGTCCTCAGTCAAGCGCACTGCGCGGCAAGATGTGATAGCTCTTCGATGCCGCAGCGGGGTGGAGCGGGCAACGTTTCAGCGCCCTCGAGCCACCTAAAAAAAGAATGCTGCTGTGTGGTGACCATCAATCAACTGAACTAAACGATACAACGTAGACAGTTATGTCAATACACAGGTCACCATTTGTTTTAAGAGACTGAGTAAAAAGATCAAAATCCACAACGACCACAATTCAGCCAGCAAACAGACAACCAGGATCGTTTATGGGGTCCCAGTGCTGTTGATGTCCTTACAAAACGATCCAGAATCTGAAAAGAAAAAGCAACGCTATGAAATACGGGAGGCCGGGACCCAGGAACCTACCTGGTTGCGCCAGTTACATACAAGAGCATTGCTCGACCGTCACCACTCAGTTGACATACCGCGTATCAGAGCAAAAAAATCGGAGTGGATAAAATGCGCGCCCGGCTTACTACCCGGGGAGCCCAACTGTCTCGTTCCTGCAACGGTACTTAGACATGTACGGTTCCTCGCAAAAAGATGCCTTCGCTCGTGGAAAGCAGAGCAAAGCAAAGACATGTTGTCATTTGCACACATCCCTATTATGCATTTGCATGCATGCATATCGCCGTTATTTGTATCACAACTTACCGTTTTTATTTAGTCATGTTTGTTCAGTCTACCTCACTCCTTCACTACCACGCATTCATTCCCGTCCTGACACATTTCGACATGACGCGAATCGGTGCTGTAGTCGGTACCGCAAACCGCTGTTCTGCGCCAGGACATGAACCGGCATCAAAATTGTCTACATGAAGCTGTGCGTCCTTTGCCCAGATGTGTCACCATGGCGACAGGGCTGAAAGCTACGGTTTCGCACATATTGTATTAGGTTTTTGAGGTCCGAACCAGGGTAGGAGGCACGGACGACGAATCCAAGCAGTGTGGACTGCGGCATCGAAATGATTTATGTGGTCTCCTTAGATCCTTTTCAGAGGCAAAACCAATGCAAATTTTACAATTTTATGAGCAAAGAATTGCTGTGAACTAACGTACTTATAAGTATGCATACACACGCAATGCTGGTAAGCCAGGTGACAGCAAGAGTGTTACACAATACATGACGCCGCAGGGATGCTTGCGTAACGCTTGTAAAATTTTCAAGACGTATTTTTACTTATCTTGTGCTATTTTTGGTGCAGTGCCGATGTAACAATTGTGCTAAAAGGTCACTGATTACCAGGCTCGTACATTACTTGTCTTCCCCCAAACAAACAAAAATGTCTTAAGCACCACGACCTGTTTCTAGAGTTTCAGCTGATGCAGCATCACTGCTATCTTTTAGCTGACATCATACATACTTCGTCTAAGACAGCGTAATCAACCAATACAGGTGATTGCTCGTGCCTGAGATCCAAGGAAAGTCAAGCAAATGCACCAACATTGGAATTAGTGGCGATGTTTCGAGTACCTTTGAAGACAATAATGGCGCTTTATGGACCTTCTGGTGGATATTGGATTCTGCGGATACCCCAAGGCGGTGTAACGGCGAATCCCGTGGCCCACTCTGTTGCAAGTGTTTTTCTAAGGGCCGGCTGTGCCTGTAATTTCGCTTTAGGTTCCATTTCAATCCATTTGGGAAGAGGTAGGCCATATAGAACGTACACAAATTCATGTAACTTAGCATCGCTGTTTATTGCTGTGATAGTGGATGTGTCTGCCGCGGTGATTTATATGCTTTGTCGTAATACTAACCAGCTCAAATCTCTGATTTCCACAGAAAATAGCATGATGCTTAACTGCTTATTTCACAGGCATCGCCTTCTTTCCAGAAAATGGTAATTGTGATACTGTCCCGCTCAGTGCTGATGGTGTGCAGCCTCATAGAAGCAGTTTATGTTGGCCTGTCAAGAAGTTGCAGGCCTATGTAAAGGGTCATGTTTCTTTGTAGTGCTTGTCATGAACCAGAAAAATGATGGATCTCTTATTTAGCATAGTTCAGATTTAATGGTTTATGGCACAGTGTACCTCAGGAGCCTTTTAAATGCATTATGAGTTGAGTATGAGTGAACACCACCCACTATGGAAAAAAAATTATACCAGTAGCCACCAATAATTGATGTGGTTGTTTAACTTTGATACTTAAAGGCAGAAAGTAAATATGTTCAGATGAGCTTCATGTTCAGTAAAGTCCAATTCTGAACAACTTATCAAAATAAAAAAATTTGTTGAGTCTTGCATAGCTTGGAAATGTATCTTGCACCCTGGTGAGATATTTTGACCATACCCAACATGTCCAAAATATTATGAGTATTGAAAGGTCATTCAGCACAGAGCTTTTTTATGCAATGTGAAATGAACCCTTGATGCCAACAGGTTTTGACAGAAAAGATCATACTACTATGTGGACCAGAAATGATCTTGATTGAAGGAATCTGGATTTAAATAACTGAAACCTGTGTTTCTAATCTATGTTAGTTGTTGCATATGGTGATCAGTGTCTGGTTATTTTTAGTTTTTACATTACATTACTTACATTGGTGCTGAGCCTGTCATTTTGGAGGAAGCTTTGTCTTTAAGTCAAGTTTTGATTGAATCTTTTGCAGGGATGGCTTTAAAGCCAGTCATTTTCAAGCACAGCCTCTAAAAGTGTTGATTTATATTCTTTTGTTGGGCCCAGTTTGCCCAGTGCACCCAATGCTCCTCCCCCCCCCTCCACATCAAGTGTTGTTGTAGCCCCTAATACTTCTGCTGGATTTTTATTGATAAGAAACACTCAAGTACCACACAAATCTTACCTCTCCATGGACATCCTTTGGTGGCTGTGAACATGTACTACAGTGCTGAAATGAAGGCTTTTGGGAAATGATGACAAATAAGAAGCTGGAAATTGTTCTTTGCAAAATAAATTGAACTGAATTCATTGAGAAACACATTTTTAGAATTTGGGTTGGCTAGTGCTCAGCTCAGCTTAGCCCTCCCCTCCCCCCAGTCAGCTACCAAAAAAAATGTTCCTGATGAGAACCTCATGCCACCACCTCAAGCAGAGCAATAGAGCATATTGCATCTTGGGGAAAATGTTTGCTTACTTGTCCACTTGCTTGTTTCAGGTTTCTTGGCTTGAAAAATATGAAAACACAAGCATCTTATTTGGATGCTAGTGGGGCAAAGGCACTGCTGGAGTCAGTTGACACATTCTTGTTTGATTGTGATGGTAAGCGAATGATTGTTGTCTTTGTAGCAATTTACTTCCATGTAAGAATGTGTATGGTGTTATGTATGCATCTTTATTTTTACATTTGTCTTACAGTGTATGCATGGTACAATGAGAGACATCCCAAATGAAACATTCAAGCTGCATCTGCAATATTATTGTTAGTCACACTGTTTGCCATGTCAGTATGTTGATGTATGTTTGGGAGAATGGGATTGTTTTATTCCTAATAGTGAGCACCAGATTTATGTATTAATAGCACATATGTGCTGACTTCTTCCTCTGTTGAAACAAAAACATTGTTTCAGGTAAGGCTATGTTTGATGATTATTTTAACAGCTACCCAGCCATACTAATTTGATTTTCATATATTTTGCATCTCACATGGCTTAATGAAAATAAGCAAAAGTTAGCAGGCATATAATGTCCCAGGCAGTCTTCCAGCATATAGTTCTGATGACATTTATCTATGGATAGATATTCTCAAAACACATTAATCCAGACCTTCAGCTGACACGTTGGTGCCCGCTAAAAGACAGGCCATGTAATGAGACATTTTTTCAAGTCTAGGCCAACTTATTGATTGTATGGATTTCTGGGATCAGAGCTTACACTGAGCAGTACTTGTGTGAACTCATGACTCCTTCATCTGATCTTGCTTGAGTGGCTGCTATCATCGACCTCAGGGCATCCCAGCTCGGGGAAAATAACGAGCGCCGTAGCGCATCTAGCCTTGTCAGACGCGGGCTGGGAGACAGACGGCCAGTCTGATTAAGCTAAGGAGCAAACTCTCAGGTGACAAAAATTGTGTACATTAACTGGGCTTATAGTGTTTTTGTTTTCACATGGCGCATTCATGAATCCTGCGTTGAAACATCTGATTTGGTTGAACTTTTGTCGGGAGAAATGTTATCTAACGCATTTTCTTGTGTTTTATCCTATCTCAGGTGTGCTGTGGCATGGCGCTAATGTGATTAAGGACGCGGAAGCAGTGGTGAACAAGCTGCAACAGCTCGGGAAGAAGGTTTTCTTGGTAACCAACAACAGCACTAAAACACAAAATGAGTATGTCAGCAAGTGTGCCAAGTTAGGCTTCCAATGCTCTCAGGTATGTCAGCACTTGCTCAGCAGGTTTCGTGGGGTGGGTGGCCGAGTTACTTTTGTGAACAGTAAGATCTGCTGAGTAGATGATTGATGTTTTGGCTCAGTCTAGCTCATGTTCAAGTTATATATATATCTATATATATATATATATATATATATATATATATATATATATATATATATGTATATATATACATGCAAAGACACATGTCTGTCAGTGCCCTACACATTTCATGAGATTGTCAAATTAACCATGTGGCATTGCATCAAAATGACTGACTTGCAAAAAGAGTCTTCCTGCACCCCCCCCCCCTCCCTTTCCCCCACATCATCACCATTTCTTGAATGCTTTTATGCCTCTGGAGCTGCCTTATTTAGTACTACAAGCCAACCTATTCTGGTTGTTTCAGTTACTTTTAAGTAGTTTTGAGCATCATTTAGCACAGTTCCTGCAAAAAGCAAACATGTTTGTGCAACATTATATGCTAACCAAAGATGGTCTCAAGCAAGGTAATGGATGCATTGTTCAGGAGATTTTAATCAGATTCATAACTCAACCCCAGATCTGGCATGGTGGCAGGTCTCCTGCTTTGGCTGCTTGTTCATGCAGCGAGCATGCACATACAACGGGTGCGTTTTCCTGATTAGCACGCTGCGCGCTGTCGTGGTTTTCACAAAAGCGCATGCACTGTTCGATAGGTAGGCCTGTTTGGGTTTTGATGGTATCCTGTGTGATGCGCGGCAGCTCAGGCCGTTGTTGCACCTGATCAAGTTCTGTGGGCGTCTCCGCGACTGAGTGCTGCGGCGCCAGTCTGACACAGCGCCGCGCCCTCAGTCCCAGGTGGTCAGCACGTCGTTCCTGACGGTGCAGTACCTGAAGTCGCTTCACTTCGACAAGAAGGTGTACCTGGTGGGCTCGACCGGCCTGTCCCGCGAGCTGGACGCCGCCGGCATCCGGCACATCGGCCTTGGCGTGAGTCAGCAGCCGCCGCTGGGTGGCGCCACTGTCGCCGCCAGGGGCTGGATCGGCGGACGCCGGCCAGGCTGAACTGTGCCACCCTCACACAGTCAGCAGCTAGCTATGAGCTCGCCGCCAGATCTTCTGCCGATGTTTGGGATATCAGAGGCTGTGTGCCACCCTGATGATCATTGTGTGGATTAAATTTTCTGAACGTGATGATGCCGCCTGTTGTAACCAGCGGCCAGAGGGTGTTTGTCTGTTTCCATTTGCACATGTCAGGGTGCACTGATAGTGCTGGCCCACCTAACACCAGATGCCTGGATGACACGGTGGAGCAGTAACAGGTCGCTGGTAGTTGTTTAGGTCTGACCATGCATGGGCACTGGTGAGAAATGCAACATGGATGTTAGGGTTTCTCTTTGAGCCTCTCTGTGCATGGGCCGCGCGTGTGGTTGCCAGAGCTGTGTGAGGTGAGGTGAGACCAGGTGTGGTGAAGTGAGATGAGATGAGGTGTGGTGAGGTGAGGTGAGGTGAGGTGAAGTGAGGTGAGATGAGATGAGCTGAGATGAGATGAGATAAGGTAGGGTAAAGTGAGGTGAGACGAGAGGCGAGATGAAGTGAGGTGAGGTGTGGTGTGGTGAGGTGAGGTGAGGCGAGGTGAGGTGACGATTTTGCCACTCTCCCGCCCGGCAGCCGGATGTGATGGAGGGCAACGTATTTGACGGCCGGCTCGACCACATTCGCCTCGATCCCGAAGTGGGCGCCGTGGTGGTCGGCTTCGACAGCCACATCTCCTTCAACAAGATCTTGAAGGCGTCCTCCTACCTGAAGAACCCGGACGTGCTCTTCGTGGCCACCAACCGCGACGAGCGCTTCCCTATGGAGCACCTCATCTGCCCTGGTGAGAGGAGGGGGCCGCGCAGGGCTGTCCCGGGCGTGCGCTTGGCGGCCAGGCATCAACTACGCTCGCAACAAGACCGTCTGCTTTATGATAACGAACAATCTGCCCACCAATTCACTCTTCTGGTCTGATCATTGCCGCCTAAGACCATTGAAATTCGGCATAGCACTTGATATCCCTTTGTTAGGTTCGTGGTATGTCAGAGCGTGGGTGGCGGATCGTCACTGTGATGGCTATCGACATGATGTGCTGTCGCCCTGCCTGATCTGCAATGCACTCGCTACATGAAGCATAATGCATGTCCGTTCGGCATGATACTGGCAGCTGAGCATGCATAGGATAGTTGTGTGTGTTGGCGTGGCACGCTTATCGCCATCCTCGGTGGCTTGGTGTGTTGGGGTACCATATGAATTAAACCAGCTATTAACTTTTGTCCGCTGTTATGGGCCGGCTGAAGGGATGTGGCATAGTCAAAAAGAAATCTCGGTTTCAATAAAGGGTGAATGCAGTGACACCGCTTTCTCCTGATTCATAAGACATTGTTATGTTGCCACACATTCTCCCATTGTGCTGTAATATTTCTGTGAAGTTTGCATAAATGTCTTCAGTGGCACAATAGAAGTGCTTTCAAACATGGAGGCATTTACCGTGATTCTTTCAAATCTGGAAGCATTGCGGCATGCACTGCTACAGATGGCCAGCTTTATATAAGGTCACTGGGCGCAAAATGACCGCAGAAGTCGGCACGCCCTAAAACGCCCAATCATCATCATAATATAAGGTCACCATTTGTAGCAATATTTGCTTTATTCTGTGGTTGCTGGGGCTGTACAATGCTTTGTAAGATCAGAATATGGGTATCATTCCCTGAAAGAAATTTAGAGAGCGTTTTGCTGTAGGCCCAGAAGCTTAAAGCTCACGCTAAGAGACATGCGTGTTTTTTTTTGCCCTTACCTCTTACGTATGCACTTGATACATTGAACAATTTGGATAGCTGACGATTGGTGCACACTTCTCATTGTGCAGATGTCCGCAGATGGCTACAGGCGAATCCTGCACGTGCTCCGCCAGACCATGCTGGATAGCTAGTGTTGCTGTCTTTGAACGCCCTGCCATTGGGCGGAGGAGATGACAACAGTTGAAAGTGACACCATCAATTATTTTTCAACCAGGAGCATCGGCTATTTGTTATGTGATGAGATCGAGTTGTAAAATTGGATGGCATGGATTCATTTTCCACTCCACACTTCTGAATATGTGACAGTCATGGATAGTTCCGGGCCCATTTTATATAATCGCAAATTAATATGACGGCTTAGGCCATCTTAAGCCGGCTGAAGCTGATGACTCCCGCTCAAAAACAACGGCTCGGCTTTTTCGACCCGGCTGGTCGCCCCATAGTCCGGGGGAATTGATGTTGGACGCAGTATCCCATGGCTGACGGCGCTTGTAACGGCTGTGTGTGACTGTGGCTTTACGACGCACTCAGCTGCTGAGGCTCTGTGGCGTCGCCTGTCACGTATCGTGGCAGGAAGGTAGGAAACCGGGGGAATCGAACCCCGTATCTTTGGTTTTCCAAACGCGCAGGTTAGCCACGACACTATTTACACTATCGGTGCTATCGGTACTCGTGGATAACCGCTGATTTTAGAAACGCAAATCTAGTGTGACTGAAGAACGACAAAACGAAAAACCCGCCAGAAACTTAATCGCGTTTGACCTGATTATGACTAGTACCTTAATTAGTGACTAAGCGCTGGCGAATAAATCGTACCGATGCTGGTCAACTTACACGGCAGTAGGTACGAGTCCGGGGGCGGGCGCACCGTTTGCCTCGACTGGCCTGTAAAGTCACCTGGCCACCGGCTAACGAGGGTCAACCTAGGTCCTGGGCGACCGTCGCGCAGCATTGCGCGGCACGGAAAACGCTCTGCATGCTTGCCTAGCGAAATAGTGGGTGCAAAATTATCTGTTGAACTGGGCGACACTACGTTAGTCGTGCGGAACGTTTAGAGTACACAAAACAATCTGTGCTGAACATCTACGTGCAGTGCGAAGCCATTCATACCGACCAATCGGAAAAGATGGGTGAAAAACGTGTTAAACCCACTTTTTGCCAACCCTAGTCCTTGGCATGTCAGTCATGTGTTCCAGTGTGCGGCCTTGCTCCCCCAGCGTGAACAGGTGCGATCACACAGTGGGGCGTGTCCCGGCGTGTCGGTGTGACCCTGCTCGTCTAGCCTGTATAAGTGCGGCCCCCGCGGTGACGGCCATGTGGTGTCCTCGTGCGACCCTGCTGCTCGTGCTCGGCAGGTACGGGCACCATGGTGGCATCCGTGTGCGTGGCCTCGGGTCGCGAGCCGGTCGTCATGGGCAAGCCGTCCCAGCAGGTGTTTGAGGCTCTCCGGCAGCAGCACGGTCTCGACCCGGCCCGCACCCTCATGGTCGGAGACAAGTGAGCATTGTCAGCAGGGGAGGAAACAAACAATGCATCGATTTTGTCTGTTGCAATTTGGAGGTGAAGACAGACTCATGGCGAGCGGCAGTCGGTCTTCAAACACCGTTCCTTGCAAAGTTGCGTGAGTGTGCGTAAGCTAAGCATCAGCGCACCCCTGCCTGCTGAACTTATGAAAGAAGTATATTGCACTGCCCGTATGAGTCATAATCATATGGGTGCTCGAAGATGATGGGCTTCACTCACTTATGTCTTCCCATTATCTACGACGACGACGACGGTTACAATGGTATAACTATCACTATGATCAACCTTCGCTCGTTCCATGCCGCAAACGTCGCCCGGCTGGTGTGCATTTGCTGAATGCATGTTGTCAGGCAGAAGGTCATTGCGGGGGCGCGGCGCCGGTAGCCGCCGCCTGCTGCGCCGTGCTCGCCGCGCTGTCTTGTGCGCCGCGCCGAGCTCTGATGGCGCCGTCCTGTCGCTAGCTGCAAGACGGACATCACCATGGGGAACCTCTGCGGCCTGCGCACGATGGCTGTGCTGACGGGCGTGACGACGGCCGCCGAGCTGCAGCGGCTGCGCGGCTCGGAGCGCGCCGACGAGGCCGTCCAGGTGCCGGAGCTGGTGCTGCCCGCGATCGGGGACCTTCTGCCGCACCTCTAGCGCGGCCGGCCGCCGCCGCCGAATCTCAGGGCCGGCAGGGGCCGGGTCGGCGGAAGCCCCGGGCGAGGCGCGCCGGGCCGGCTGAATCTGCTTCGGGTATTTGTTGTGTCGTCTTATCTCACAGAAGGTGGTTGGGTGGAGATGCGTGTCGTATGTCGGCAGGGGAAGATTGTGCCATTCTTTGTACTGTGTGTCGTGGTACACGGCTGCACCATGCTCAGCGACCCAGATGTCGGGAAGGGTTGGGAATGTCACGATACGTTTGATCTGGACTCTTTGTTTAACTTAGCAAACTTAGCGCGCGTCGGGTAACCTTACTTAACAAACTTAGCACGCGTCGAGTCACCATGCCCAAGAACAAGCGCAGACAGACCGCTCTGACATTGGTGTCGTGTTTTAACGATACTCGTGGATTATCTCACGACGTTGTGATGTCCAGTTCAGTGTGCTTAGCCCCGTTTAAAACTGTTATTTCAAGAAAAAGATGGCACGTCAATTCGGAACGTCAACCCGCTGTGGTGCCGCCGGCTTGTTTTGATGCCTCAATGAAAACGACGGTGATTTTCGTTACCGTATGATAAACGTTCTGGTTTTGTAGCGTCATTGACAAAGTTGTACACCTATAATTTTCTGATGACTTAGCTGTGGACGTCTTGCAATATACTACTTACACTCATCTAACGGAACGACCACATGCTCGTGACAAATGGCTTCCTCGCTCGCGCGCCCGTGTACTCGCGAATACACACCCGGCTGCAGAGCGTTGCAGTCCATCGAGAAATTATCACTAATAAATTGCAGACATGGGGAGACTACGTGCAGGCAGTTGCTGCTATTTCCAGTGTTCTCACAACAAGGCACCGTTGAAGCTGCTGACAGCATTACGGATGCCGCAGCGGGACGGCCTGTTGGTTCCGATCGGGCGGGGCGTGAACGGCTGCACCGGCCCGCCCCTGGGCCGTGACGCGTGGACGTTACGGACTGCTGAGAATGTTCGTCCATCAATTGTGTCATATTAACATCGTTAACGTGTCAATTTTGCGTTTTAAAAGGGCGATATTGTGCATGTTTTTTTGTAAGTTTTGCGGGCGAAGAATGCGCTTGGGATTTAGTTAGTAAGAATGTTCACGTCGTTTTGGTAAGTCACGGTACATAGTTTGACGGGAACTGTGCGAGCTGAAGCACTGCTTTGCGTCCTAGGAATACGAAACGGGTATGATATACAACTGTAGGTAATACGCAGCCAATTCTGGTCGACTTTACATGCCACTGGACGACGCCAAATTGTTATGATTCAAGTGAAGGCAGTAGTGGCTTCACCGGCAGTTGGTGAACGAGGACTGGTCGATGGGGGTTCAAACTGCCGCTCAATACATAGCCCATATTTTACGTCGGCGAAATGCTGGCGGTGAGATTATTGCTCTCTCCAGGAGAGCAATGATCCTGTTACTATGATCAATGATCCTGTGGACGGTGCCGCGAAATTCCCTCAGATAAAAATTGAAATGGAGTTAAAGTTGTTGAATCAGCTGCCATATTCGCTGACTTGCCTTGCAGTCCACTCATATCAGCAGAGGTGTTGTGTGCTATTCAGGTTGACGGACTCCAGCCCCCTTCCTCATCTTTACCAAACTGGGTCAGGACCCGGATGATGTCTGTTTGTTGACGCCTTTTGAGGGTAGGTTGAATCGTTATGCACTGCTCGCCCCCCAGCAACTCATCTTACGAAACTACGCCACTGCATAGTAGTAAACATGTCTTGACCCGACACTTCGTCACGCTGTCCTTAAAAAAACAAGCAACGTGGCAATGGGTCAGCTCAGTGTCCAGTTGGATCCACGAACCGTTGCGTGTAACATTGCCGAGCACACGGTTGGGACCCAGGTGTAAAATCCTGGTGGTTCCCCGTTTTGGTGCAAGGGGCCATCCCCGCGCTCATGCCAGCCCCATATTGAGACAAAATTAATTGGACAACTAGAATGACCACAACCAGCACCAAAATATAGAGGCTGATCGCCAGCTACATCAGCGAGCCGAAGCGACCTGGTTACTATCAGGAGATTGAGGCATCACCAATGGTGCCAGTTAAAATCGGGTATAGTAAACCGACCAGATATCAGGGCTAAAATCTCCGATTGCAGGTTTACATAGCGACCTGAACAGTTACCAAAAACATGGACATGAACAGTTACATGACAAGGACATGAACAGTTACCAAAAGGACATGGACATGAACAGTTACCAAAAGGAGTAATCGTGACCAGCAGCAACGGCTTGGCGTCCTCTGTAGCTTAATTAATTGGTATCATCTCCTGGCGATCTCCACCCACCTGTGGTGATATGAGGTTTCAGGTCGCTATGTAAGCGCTCTCAGGGGCACATCCTAGACAATCAAACACGGGAGGGGGGGGGGGGGGGGGAGCATCTCAGCGAGAACTTATCACGTACGGGTTGTGGTGGGGTGAGGGTGGGCCTCTGCATTATCGATTTTGGCAGCATCTATGTGTGCTCGATATTTGCCCTCTGACTTGAATGGTCTGCGGCAGGTGGCAGCGGCTGTTCAATGTCCTAGGGCACACCCAACAATTTATCACCAAATCACACATCTTGTAAATCGCTTACCATCACCAAATACACACCATTGTACCTCGCCCAAAAACTGGCTGCTTCTACAGTCATGAACATACTTTTTTAAGAAGCATGTACACAGAGGTACATGGCCCGTAAACTTACCCTGTTCCTCCCCCCCCCCTCCCCCGAAGTGGATTTGCTATGGTGATGAGCTGCCTGAAGATAGAAATCCCTAGTCGTGACCCACGCGCACGCACAGACACCACACGCACACTGCATCAACAAATGCACGCCCCCTTCATAGGCCTGTAAATCCACACCATGACTTGGTGTGATCACTTGTCATTCCTCAGTCTATTTCTAACCGCCCATCCTCTGTCCTCGTATCATGTTCGAACCTTGACATTCCAGCGAACGGCTCGTGCGCCCGACATCCGTTATTGCGTCCTCTTCGCCCTCGACACCGACCCCCATCAGCCGACGACACGGGAGCGGTCTTCAGGCGGGGGTGGGACGGGGACGGGTGCCACATAATTAGCGGACCCCTCGTCGCTGCGGCCCGGGTCGTCCGGCCGGAGCTGAGGTCACTCTGCCGTGACCGGTTGAAGGCGAGGTCGACCCCCGCCGACCTCGCCTTCAGCCAGCGAAAGGCGTCGCCGGGGTCCTACAGCAGCGGGACGGCGGCGCGACACACTGTCGACCGACGCTGGCCCAGCTCGTGTCACCCTCCCGGTCCCAGAGGTGACCCGTCCGTCATCCGACGCCACAGCATGGAGCTCACTGTCCGTCAAATGCTGGTGAGTACGCAGAGTATGTATTTATCATGGCGTGGCTAGTTTGGAGAGGTCAACATGGTGAGCAGGTCAGTCCGCCGGCTGAGAAAGACCTGTGGGATTTGGCTGGCGCTGTCGATCGATTCCAGGCGTTGTCTGAATCGTCGATGTGTCTGATGAAGTGTGAGTTTGTGGTAACCACCATACTTTTTCATTCAAGACTAATCTAGAAATGTAGATACTTCCATCTAGCTCGTGGTGTTACATCGTGGACCGATGTTGACCACATTTCTCTTTTTCGTTGTCATATGTTGAGGGTGTGCTCAAAGCGGGCAAAGCGAGACCAGGTGTCATAACTCGTCACTTAGTGTCAGGATATATGTAAAAATACCTTTGAGCAGCTTCTGCATACGGAGTGTGGACGGGCTGAGGTAATAGACCATTTGCCAGAGGAGTGTTTGTGTGGTATCACTGTAGAGGCATGCAGTGCCTGGACAGTGCTTAAGTAGACAGACGCACAAAGTAAAGCTAAGGAGGAATACTTTGACACCGGCCATGCTCAATTTCTTTCGCGTGCCGCCAGCCGCTCTGTGGTACTCAATAACGATCGCCTGTAGCAGCTTCATGCGCTGTCGAGAGTATCCTTAGTCGGCGGTTCGGTCTGTGTGCCGGCAGGTGGTGTTGGCCTGGGTCTGTCTCGCAGCGGCGTCCGACAGAACCACTACCAGCGCGGCTGACGGCCAGCACGACCACGCGGCGGCCCGAACGGCACATCGCGCGCCTCTGATAGTGGCCAATGGTAAGTATAAGTCTGCATTCTGGGTGCTCGTTTTGAGAATTGAGGTATGCAAGTACTTCGAGGTGTCTTACACAGATACGTGGTATTATGGTGGAGCAGCCGCTCTTTAGTCGCTCGCTTGCCCCGAACATCTCAGGGCTTATGCCTGGGCTTATGCTGTGAAACGTCTGTTGCCATGGTCCTTAAACACACTATAAATACATGCTGTAACATGACATGGAGGGCACCCCATCTTGAAAGGTGCGGTAGAATGATCGGGTAACATCCTTTATTTAAACACGTGGACACACACACGCACACGCACACGCACACGCACACGCACACGCACACACACACGCACACGCACACACACACACACACACACACACACACACACACACACACACACACACACACACACACACACACACACACACACACACACACACACACACACACACAAACACATATGGACGCAAACGCAAATATCGTTTCAACAACGCACTGGCACGCAAACGCAAATATTATTTCAACAACGAACTCGCACGCACACGCTTATGTACATGCATACCTAGGCACACGCACGTTCACACGCAGAAACACGCTAATAATTGCTGTCGTGGGACCGTCCCTAACGTAAGGTCAGTTTCACTGAGGTAGTCATGAGAATATCCTGCTTTGATTTGCTGTCGCAAAGGAGACTTCAACACCAAAAGGGGTGAAAATGTTTTTTTGGGAGCGTTGTACACTTTATGGACTTTATAAATATCGACCTGAAATATCAACGATTATTGAGAACGTAAAGCAGGGAACGGGTAAAAACACTAGTCCGGGGCTAAACATTCCGTCCTCTTACTAAAAGTGTTTTCTGAATCACTCTGGCGTGCATCCAGTGGCGTAGCCAGGATTCTGCCCTGGAGGGCCCAAATCGGGCAATATGGGGCCCTCTAAGCCAACGGGATCCTCTCCGTACGTATAGAGGCCTTTTTCGCTGTAGGAACTTTGTGTGTCAGGGATCCTATCTTGATGACACGTGTGTCAAGTTTTTTTGTTTTAGTCATGTGCTATGCAGCATCTTCAAATGCCAAGAAGTGCTGGAGTATTTGACTCCAGGGAGCCCTGTCGCCTCCAGCGGGTATTGGACTATTAGACTGTAAAATCCGGTCTGCTCTTGCTGTCCGACCAAACACTACGTGAGGTGTTCCCGTCAGTATTTGCCCCAATACCTCGGTAATCACAACAATAGAAATGGCATAACGCTCGACGCGACCGACCAGCCCGCGTCCCCCGTCACGCGCACCACACACACAGGGACCACTCCGGCGCGACTGTGCCAATTGTCTGGCGCGTAGGCGCGCACCAAACGACTGCCATACACCACATAGGCCCCAAGGGGTCATGCCACCTCCGGGGGGTGGCGTGGCCCCAAGGACATCTTCTGCGCCACTGTGCCCGTCCTCACCGCCATTAAAGTAGCATTGTCACCTGCTCTTCCCGGAGGGACTTGAAAGACCGGCGAGTGGCGCTTCAGTTGTCTTAAATGTTTCAAGTAAGTTTGTT